AATAAATAGAAGTATTTTATTTTAATAGATCTTATCATTTAGGTGGAAGTATCTGATCATTTAGTGATATCACATCACTAATATAATCAACTCAATTAAATTTTCCTTCATAAATATAAAAGATATGCAAGAGTATAAAAGACAATCTCTAAAAAAACATCTCGACCCCCTATCAAATCTGTAAAGCGACGACATAAACCAAATTTGTAATTCAGGCTCTATATCCTCAACTCATATCGAATTCAACACTATGAATATAAGTATTCAAATAGACCAATTTAGTTCTTGCAACTTCTAATAAATTAAAATTTACTTGATTTTTAATCGATTCTTGGATAGCATTCGGTCTATTCTTTTAAAAAAATAGCGCACACACACACACACACATATATATTTAACCAATTGAAAATTTAAATTCACCGACAAATTAATTTCAATCTGACCTGGAGAGTCAATGGACAGTCAAAAGCATTTCCATTCTTTGTATAGTTGTGTGTATAATGTATTATATATATCATAATAAGCACGTGCTAAAAAAAAAAGGCGTTAAAAGTCGTTCGCATACAGTTCTTAATGCACTGTACGGTCCAGTTCAAAGCCAGAAAACAAAGAAGCGTAGTAGGACTCGTGATGGAGCGCCAGCCACACAAGCATTTACTCCACGGGGGCACGAGTAAATGCTTTTCTTTTCAGGAGAAAGTCTCAGGTGAGGCCGTCCCCATCTTTCTATTATGAGCTCTATTCCCATCTTCGTTTTTTTACTTTCTTTTTTCTTTGTATCTATTTTTATTTTATATATATATATATATATATTTTGTAGAATCTTAGTAATATTTTAGATATAATACTATATATATTGTCAGTATGGTGTGTTCGTTACTATTTTGAGCCAAATCAAAATAGTAGGTGGACTTTTCCTTATAAATAATATATTTATTCTTATAAACTAGCATATAAAAAAATATTATCTTCTCTAAAAAATATTAAAATTTTAGGTTTGTCCCAGCTCTCCTACTTTAGGTATATGACGTATACTAAAAAGATGATATTGGTTTAAAATATTATACGACCATGAACCTACCCTCACTATGGTAAGTTTCTTCATTTTTCTAAAATAAAAATACATATTTTAATAAAAAGTGGGAGAAAAATGTAATGAGATTATGATAAATTGCATAACTTCAAGCCTAGCAGGAATTAAAAACAACTTTATATCTAATGAGATTATGATAAATTGCATAACTTTAAGCTTAGCAGGAATTAAAAACAACTTTATACCCAATACAGTTAAACCAACTCCTAAATATATATACTAAGAAGAACGTATCTATTTTATAGATCCCAAATGTAACTGACTAAACATTACATGATACAATATGAATCTAAAAATAGACACGTAATTATAATAGAATTTGAGACATAATTATCCTAACACTCTCGACCTTGGCTCAAATTTCTTTATGTTTATCAACGCGTTCCATGGCAAGCTGAATCTAACAACTCACCCTAGTTGTCCTTCACAACTACTCTACCTTTGCTATGTATCTCATAACGATTACGTCTTGCTCTTTTCCGGACTGAGAGTGTGAACCCACTATTCTTTTAGGTTGGGAGCAAACCTAGCTGAGAGCAAAACCACCATCCTCTTTTACTGGTTGAGAGAACAAACCCACTCTTCTTTTAGGAAACCTTAGCTGAGAGCAAAACCACAATCTCTTTTACGGACCAAGAGATAATGAACCCTAACGATAACAGTAATTGATCGACTCCACCTGAAACCCGTTGCAAACTCGGGATACATGATGAGGAGATTTTATTATAATATGTAAAGATGTTACAAGCACGTAAACTCTATTCATAACTTGCGAGATTGCCTTTACGGGCTACACATTTCTCTCCACTCGTATCAACGTATCTATTTTATAGATTCAAACGTAACTCATGGTAAAGTTATCTAAATATTACACTTTTACGTAATCATAATACAATTTGAGACATCATTATCCTAATAGGCTTGTCCTTGGCCAAGAAGATATTTTTTGTGGAAGCAACTTGTAAAACACTCTAATTTATTTATTTATTTATAATCTCAACAAGAAACTCGGACATCAATATGTTTTTGTATGGACTTGAACACTCTGATTTTTACTCTCTATTTTGAAAGTCGAGTAAGTATCACAAAATTATCGCCCTTAATGTTAATACTATAACCATATAGCTGGTTATATAATATAATTCATCCGCACCATACATGGTAACCATTAGATGTTAACCCATAAACAAAAAATTCATCCACACCATATATGGTAACCATTCGATGTTAAAAGGTAGCTACCAAAATAAGATAGTACAGTAATCACATCCAAAAAGATCATTTTTGCATATTATATATATATATATAGTAAAATCATGCTAGCTAAGAAATTATAGATTTTTTTTAAAAGGTCTTTTTATTGGATGACTCCCACCCATACCAGTCCCATGACACGTGAGGTTTAAGTCATGGACTTACTTGCACAGTTGAGGGGATTCCAACCCATATTCGATACACGTGATACAATTAGTCAAGAAAAATTTGTCTTACTATTTAACTACATAGTTACAGTTCTCTAAAAGAGAGAGATATATATATATATATTTTATAGGGACAGAGAGAGTATGTATATTTTTTCTAAGATAAGAAATCTTTCATTAAAATAGATAATACAATCCATAAGATTGATCACTTCAATGAAAGCAGGAAATACATAAAAATAAATAAAAATAAAAACACTCACATCTAATATAAGTTAGATATACAGTATACACACACATTGGTAGACTATATGTATGTGTGTATGAGGTTTTTAGTCATTATCAAATCCCCTAAACTTCGACATTACATTTCTCTACCAATATAATCTCATCCATTATATTATGCAACCAAATTTAAGCTTATGCAGTTAGTGTAGCCTAAAACATTTCTTAACATTGTTACACCCCTATATATATATATATATATATTATTTATTCCAACCACACATCATTTGGGCTCATAACTACATCGTAATCCTTACATTTTTAAAATTTAATCTATTTATTTATTATTTTATTTCAAAACAACTTTGCCAATATGAATATTAATTATAGTCCAGTCTGGATGGCCAACAAGAACTAATATTATGGTCAGGTAAACCATGACAATATGGATGATTCTGCCAGCAAGACAATATATGTAAATTTTCTTCATCCCAAAAAACGAAGAAGATAATATTTAATAGTGCTTAATTAATGCATTTGGTGAATTTATCAAGTGAGATATTAGCTGTTACTGGGACCTCTTATATACGTATAAATGACATTATACATATTTGTCAGTATAATCATAAATCATTGTTGTCAAGACCTTAATATGCTACTAATGCATTTGTTGGCCTGGAGGTACTTTGCTAACGGTTGCTAGGTGTATCCATAATAAATATTATATATAAGTAGATGTAAGGAGTGAGATCTCATTATAGCACCAACCAGGTCTTTATTTATTTATTTATTTTTTCACCCTGGTTTCAAAATTTAGTGTAAAAAATTATTTACGCTTTCGTTCAATTTTATTTATTTTTATTTTTTTGTATTTTCTTTCTTTTTGACCAAATTTACTAACTCATCTACTTTTATTCGGATAGATTTTTCAGTGTGTATATCATTCCCAGGATGATAATTTTTTTTTAACGATATGATTGTTTGATGATGTGATTTGCACGCGATTTATCTTACTCTCAAAATGTGTTAATTTAAAGAAAAGTTCGTGGTAATTTTAAGCACACGCAATTAGAGGCTTACTCTAAATCTGAATCATAGTTCTTAACGTTACAACTATTTAACCCCAAGAAGGAATAGAAAAGGTATTAAATATCATGTCTATTACAATCGGTATGATAGAAGGAAGGAAAAGGGTGGAGGGAAGATAGAAAAGAAGAAACAAAACTTCATTTATTTGGTAGAGAGGAGAGAAAATATTATGGATGAATAATCCCTCTTCCCTTTCACAGACAATGAGAGAAGAGAAAAGAAGATGGATGAGTCATTTTTCTTCCTTTATAAATTTTTATTCCTCCAAATATGGATAAACATGATAAAAAAAAGACAAGATTATTATAAAAATATTTAAAGTATAAAACTTTTCATATAATTAATACTCCATTTTCTCTCTTGACAATCAAAATAAGGTATTATCTCATTTTCTTCTTTTCCATCCAATCAAACAAAAAGAAAAAATGATATAATCTCTTCCCTACGAATGTATCATTCATTTATTTTATTCTCCATTCTATACAATTTTTCTCGTTCCTACCAAACCGAAATAAACGTCCTCCTAAAATAGGCGCATAGTGATAAATTGAGCATTGATGTTTCACAAAAACAAAGTGAATTTTTTAGTTATTTGCAAGAAAATGGTAAAGAAGAAAACTCATTGATACTCTTAAAAAAACATACACAAAAGTTAGGAATTTTCAAAATGAAAAGTTAGTTTGAAGATCAATTTGTTTTATACAAATCAACACACATGTAGTCCCACTAGGTATTAAAAGTCACTCACATATTAATACAATATACAATTTTTCTTTCACATATTAATACAATATACACTTTTTTCTCCCATCATCATAAATAATTCAAACATAAGGGCATGGGTTCCTTATATTCCATTCCCAATTGGGAAAAAGGTCCTAATCAGCATGGTCAATTAACCAACTACACCTTTCATAAAACCTAGTCAACTTTTCCAAAAGCCAGTGGCAAAACCGTAATATTAAACTACCACAGTGTCAATTGCATAAGCCCAGACCAAATACCAGAAAAATCTTATTTAAAAGGTAAATAAAAAAATAAAAAAAGGAAAAAACAATCAGCAGTAAAAAGGTAACAAATCCGCCATTTCCATATTTGTCGGAGGGCAAATCAGTCTTTTGACACATATAATATAAGTAACCAGCAGTTCGCTTTCCAACGCTGCTTAGTGCAAAGACCGCCCCCTGCCTCTCTCTCTTCTCTTCCTCTCTCTTAAACTTTTCTCGAACTAGTCGTTTTCATCTCACAACCGGCGAGTTCTCGCCGGAAAAGCGCCAGAAAACGACTGCGATTAGCCGGCGGCGAGTGACCCAGTGTCTAGAACCAGGAGGGCTGTCGTTTCGATGGCTCGGGTTATTGATTGTTGAAGGAACCGATGCGGAGGATAGGTGGGCGGTGAGTGATGGGGAAGGTGGGGTTGGGGTTGGCGGTGGGGTGCGCGGTGGCGACGTGCACGATCGCGGCGGTGTTGGTGTCGAGGAGAGTGAGGAGTAGGCGGAGGTGGAGGAGCGTAGTTGGGGTGTTGAAGGAGTTGGAAGAGGCGTGTGCGACGCCAGTGGGGCGGCTGAGACAGGTGGTCGATGCTATGGCTGTGGAAATGCACGCGGGCTTGGCCTCCGAAGGTGGTAGTAAGCTCAAGATGCTCCTCACATTCGTCGACAATCTCCCCAATGGGTATTGATATACGAATACTACCTGTACTCTTCGATGGGTTTTAGTATTTTTGATTTTTTAATTGATTGAATGCTCTTTATTTCTTTATTATGAAATTCGTATCTTTATGTTTATATTATATCTATGTGAAATTTTGTGCTTATTGCTGTTTGATTGTTGTGATGGAAGGTGGGCGGATGGGTCTTTGAATCTTTATTGCCAATTTCCTTGCTATTTCTATGTGGGTTCTCTTTCTTTTATCTCATTCTGTTTGTACTTTGTCAATTCGAAAATTTCAACCCCATTCATGTTTGAGTTTTTGTTTTTTTGGGAAGGTTAATGATTTTTTTCTATTTTTTTTCAAAGATTTTAGAGTTTCTTTGGGTTCTTCCTTTCTGCCTGCCCATGTAACTAAATTGTGTCAACTTGATATATCGTGGCATTTGTGTTCAAATCTTGTTTGGATAATTTGTCTCCTTTTTTTTTTTGTCCTTCAAAATTATCATTTTGTTGATAAATATCTTTTGATAGATAGCTATAAAGTGGTTTCCATATCAGGAGGTTAAATGGTCCAATTCTTTTATTTTGGTATGCTTATAATTGTAATATGTTGTTTTGACATTAGTCATTGTGATGAATCAATCTTTTTTGCTACTTTTATCAAAGAATTTTTGATGTAAAGCTTTAAGCATCTGAAAAGTTGAATTTTATTGGTTCATTTTTATATTCTCTTCTATTATAGTTTGAGAATTAACTGTTCTAGGAATTCTTTGCTTTGGGCTCCACAACTGGGATCAGTTGGTTGTCTGTGGTGGCTCTTGTCATGTAAATAATTACCAGGTGGTGTTTGATAATCTAATTCAATACTTAATTTTGAAAAGATTCAATACCTATTTAATTGTGTATGATATTTAAAAACTACTTGAAAGTATAGGTGTCACTTCAAATATGGTAAAGTTTTAAGTGATGAAGTGTTCAGTTATCAGTGAACACTTCAAATTCCAAAAAAAAAAAAAAATCAGCTCATAAATTTTCAGTGCTATCAAACACTTTGTAATCGTGCAAATTTCGAGTTGGTATATTTGTCCTAGAAAAATTAATTCGATATTCAAAATTTATTATTTTATATGCTCGCACACACATATGTGTCCATATACGTTTACCTTTCAAATGTGTTAATGCATGAATTAATACATTTATTAGATACGTAGTATTACATATATATCTAGAGCTGTTATCCTTTGGTGTTAATGTACTTTGGCAATGAAAGTAGTACTTGTTTTTTGATAAGAAATTAAATGAAATTGTTTTATACCAGTTAATTGAATAATTCAAGTTCCCATTCATTATGGCCATTTAGTTTTTTCTACAATTTTCACAATTACACTGTTTGTTGCTAGTCAGTGAGGGTCACATAACCATTTTTTTTTTGGGTTGGGGGTGGGTCTGTGATGAACGAATAGATTATAATTTCAGTTGGAGGATATACATCACTAGCAGATCCTTGTCCTGGTCATATACTATTACCGGCAGGCAGTTCTTATTTGTGTAATGTCAACGTTCTTCACTGTTGCCTGTAATGCTGGTTGTTGCATCATAATATTATTTAGAATTTGTATTCTTGTCATTATGTTTTGTTTATATTATTGTGTAAAGTTCTCATAATTACTCTTTTTTCCAGGAGTGAGAAGGGAATTTATTACGCGCTAGATCTCGGAGGCACTTATTTTAGGGTCTTGCGGGTTCATCTAGGTGGTGAAAGAAATATTCTTGGACATGATGTGGATCGGCAACCCATTCCTCAACAGCTAATGACCAGCACAAGCAAGGTGGTGGAGTTTGTGCTTAACATGTTCTACTAATGAGCATGAGTTTGAAAATGTTCTATGTAATGATATTATGAAAATTGACTTGTTTGTTTGCTTGCAGGATCTCTTTGATTTTATTGCGTCATCACTAAAGAAATTTCTTGAAAGAGAAGGAAAAGATTCTGTGCTCTCTTCAGTCAAAAGAAGGGAACTTGGCTTTACATTCTCGTTTCCTGTGAAACAAACATCTGTCTCATCAGGCATCCTAATTAAATGGACAAAAGGATTTGCCATCGAAGACATGGTCAGTTGGACAATTTTCTAGGAGTACTTACCTCTGAATGCTTCAAATCCATGTTAGACTATGTGAAACACAAGAATATACTTTATTGGAAAATATCCTGTCACATTGACGATGAAACTGAATTGTGCTCGTCTGTTTCATGTGTGCAGCAGCCAGCATGCATGGAATTGTTAAAAGGCAGCACTTCAACCATTTGGGCCCAATTATGGACTGAGTTGTGGCTAGGCTGAGTGAAACTTACCTTGATTTCATATTTCGTGACCCACATTATGTTCTTATACATTTTGTAGGGTATTAGAGAAAATACTTTTCTAAGAGGTATATATATATATATATATATATATTGAAAGTGTAAAACTAGAATTAGCTGAAGTGATTAGTGCTCCATAACCACACTTTATGAAACACAAGGACTTCATTGGAAGGTATCCTTTAATGCTGAAGGTAACTTTTCTGTTTGCTGTGTATGTGCCAGCAAGCATGAAACTGTTACAGAGGCATCGCTACAACCATTTGGGCCCAAATGGATGATCAAGTTGTGTCAAGCTGAGTTCAAACTCACCTAAATTCAAATAGTGTGGAACAATTATGTTCTTTTCCATTTTGTTGAATATTAGAGAAAATACTTTTCCGAGATAGCAAAAATATTTACTTTACAAGAGTTAAATTGGAATTTAATTTTATGATATATTCAAATATCTGATGTAAATGGAGAAGTATTTAAGTAGCGTAATATCATTATGGTAACAAAATGGTCTTGCTTGTCAGGTAGGAAGAGATGTTTCTGAATGTTTACAAGAAGCATTGTCTAGAGCAGGCCTAGACATGCGAGTTGCAGCACTGGTAAGTTATTTTAGTTCGTCATTTAATTTTAATCTCAATGTTTGTTTGCATACTATGAATGGCATTTTACTTTTTAAAATGGTTGGGAGTAACTTGGACGTTATCCATACATTATTTGTAATATAAAGTCATTCTTATCTGGATCCTGAAACTTTAACAGGGCACCACCACCAAACCTTTAGCTCAAGTGTCCAAATGGAATGCTGAGCATACTTATTAGACATATTCAAATATTTAAAATCATGATCTTACTAATGGCCATGTAATGCCGAGGGACGTTTATTTGTGGAACCTCGCCACTTTTCATTTCAATAATGTAGGTTTTTTGAACATGAATGTCTGTCACCACCTGATTTGAATGTTATTTTTTATGATCTCTATTTTTTCACATCTTGCAGCTTCATCAAAATTAAATTGGATTTCATCCAAAGATGGGAACAAGGTTTTGTTTTTGATTGAGTTATATATGTGTTTGTATATTTAGAAAATTAATCCTGCTATTGAATTTTAAGATCTTACTTTTTACAAAGTGGCAAAGTGGTGATACCTATTGTGGTATTTCTATTTCTTAATTGAAGTTACTAGAACTCAATAACCTATTGATTTGCATTTCCAGAATATTAAATCTGATTATCCTTGTTTTTTCTTCTCCCAATACTTTCCTTAGTATTACTTGTAAAAATGACCATTATAACACATCAAGATACAATTAGAGAAAGGCTTTTCATGTTGATATTGAGGAAAACTAGATTGCATGCATATCAATAGTTCAGCTTATGTAGGAAATGATTTTCTTCTAATATAGTGCTTTTCAAAAGAGCATTAACAAGTGTCCTGTTGCACTAAGGGTACAATTCTATAAGAAAGTTACTTGCGTGAATTAGAAGTAGCTCAACATGTCATCTGTACCATGTTTCATAGTACGAGGTATACCACATTCTCATTCTCTCATTCTCTTCTGGTTCTAGATAATTCTTTTCCAATTAAATGTAATAACTTATCTTACTTGAAAGTAATTGTTTGATGAATTCTTTTATAAGTAAAAATTTCATTAAAAGCGCTCATAAAAGGAGTGTGCCCAAAGAACAACTACACAAAAGGCCAACAAAAAGCTTGCTATACTCTCAAGCTATACACAAAATCGAAAGAGTTCTCCAAAGATTTGCAATACCACCTATTGACCCAAAAGAATAGAGAACTCAATATGGAATGTTTTAACACCCAACTAGGAGTCTCTTCCCCATCAAATGACCTCCTATACCTTTCTCTACCCAAACCACACCACAAACAAAGAGGGGTTTCCCTCCAAGTATCTCAGACTTGGCTACCCACTATACAACCTCTCAATCATGCCCATCATGGAAATTGGTGAAACCCTATGAACACCAAAAATAGCAACAAAAAAAAAAGACCAAACATCCCTTGATACCAAGCAATGCAAAAGAAGATGATTCACTGATTTCTCATCTTTTTCCACATACAACACTAATTCATTATAATCTTCCAAGGGAATGAAAACTCCCTAGCATCCACAAAAACTGGTCAAAAGAACACACCTCATGCTGAGAATGCAATCAAATCCACTCTCAACCCCCTCCTCCACTTTCGACGGTATAGGAAGGCCAAAAAATCTGCCATCTCCTCCAGCTCCCAAGCTTGAAGATGTAGTTCACACTGCACATCCCATGTCACCTTCCCGTTATCTACCCGATAACAGTCAGTGACCAAAATTTGCATGTCCACTGCCATCCTGCAGAGTCTCGGGAAAGTGCAAGTAAAAGGGCCTATCCCTGCACCAATTATCTACCCAAAACCAAACAAACCTCTCACTCCTAACCCTGGATCGAATATATTTATTAAAAACTACCCTTTCAAATGGATTTTCAAACCCCCTCCCCTGTTGGTTGGAGACCTCATCTCCTTGGAAATTCAACCTCCCCAACTTACACATAATGACCCTCCTCCACAACCTAGATCCCTCCACCCCAAATCTTCAAAACCAATTTCCCCAACAAATCAAGTCTCTAATACCCAATCCTCACTAGCTGAATAGGGTTGCACACCTTCCCCAAGTTCACCAAGCGAAACTTGATTACACGCACATGCCACCCTATGGAAAATCTCTTTGCAACTTCTCCAAGTCTCTTCATAACAAGAGAGAATCTGGAACACAAATAAGTTGGAAGACTTGAAAGGTACTCTTAGTTAGAGTTATGCAACCTCCTTTTGAAAGATACTGCTTCTTCCAATCTGCAAGTGAGCAAGTCTCCTCTCGAACTGCTCCACGACTGAATCCCACAGACACCCTCCTCGATGGATTCCCCAAAGGAAAAGCCCAAATAAGTTGGGAAGGACCCGATACCACATAATATCAGGAAGAGAAGCAATCTCTCCCACCTTCCCCACCTGCACTAAGCACTATCTTGCTCTTCTCCATATTTGAGACCCGAAACTGTGGGTAGTGCTCGTTGTGCATTCACTCGGTGTATAACAATTAATTCAATTTAATATTATCACGTTTGATGTGTGTATGCATGATACCTTTTTGAACAGTCTGGATCAATATCTAAGATTGAGTAAAGAAGCTTTTGATCTTATGTGAAGACTAACGTCACTAACCATAGTTATTATTGAAGGTCTGCACTGAAGTTTAACATATGTGCTAACTTAATTTATTGGGGTGTTATATGTTAATATTGTTATGAGTCCTGTTATTTAGGGATTGCTTTAGTTATTTAGTAGTTTATTATCATATTTTCATTGGCCACGGGTGATTTGATAGAACACATGAAACTGAAACAATATACTGATTTAATCAGTGAATATAAACAAACCTGTATACAATGAGGTGTAGTAGTTCAAAAAGGCTCACAAACTATTTTCATGACGATCACAGAAGTTTCTGAAATGAGTTCATCTGTCGTTATTTTTTTTCAATATAATTATTCTGATACAAGCAAGGATGATGGTACCGTTCAATATATGGGTTTTCTTTTATAAACAGATTGAATGTTTTATCATGAATAAAAGCATATGTTACTCTGCTTTTGTAGTAAAAAATCCCCTTGTTTAGAGTACAATCCGTGGCTTCTGTTTTGGTGAGACACTCCAAATAGAAACTACATTTGAATGAATATACTTTTTGAATGGACTTCTTGTTTGCATGACTTGAAACAGACTAGCATGTCTGAAGTTCTTTAATTGGTATTCTTTTCGCACAATCAAATAGTATGTTTCATTTTTTATTTATTTGGGCGCACTCCCTTTTTTAGCGCATTTAGTGAATTTTTACTTACAAAAAAAAATGTTTCACTGTTGATTGGGTTGTTTCTGTAAGGGTACTATTTGACACCATACAATCAACCAATGAACTATGATTTGATTAGTCCATCATTAAGATTCATCCAGTTGAAATAACTAAGAACTCCAAATTGAATACAGTTAGGTTTTGACAAGGCTAGTAGTTATATTTGAGAAAGATACATAAATGCATGCATGCAACCACATTTGCATACTTGTATTCATGCATAACCATGTGTATGATTGACAAACTTTTTTGTGTGTTTTATATTCTTTGTAAGCAGATAAATGATACTGTGGGAACATTAGCCCTTGGACATTATCATGACGAGGACACAGTTGCTGCAGTGATAATTGGGACGGGGACGAATGCCTGCTATTTGGAACGTACAGATGCGATTATCAAGTGTCAAGGCCTTCTTACGACTTCAGGATGCATGGTATCCTTCCTTAAGTTTTCCAGTTATATATTATTTATTGCAAAGAGAATGGAAAAAATAATTGCTCTTATATTATTTGTTCATGTTTTGTTTACTATTGACTAGGTAGTCAACATGGAATGGGGGAATTTCTGGTCATCTCATTTACCAAGAACGTCTTATGATATTGAGTTGGATGCTGATAGCCCTAACCCAAATGATCAGGTAAATTTTCAGTTGGTGCTAAATCTCTTTGGGCAATTGATTAATTATTTATTATATATTTTTTATGATCCAATTCTCTTACTTTATAATGCAGTGAATATCTTTAAGCTTTAATGATTTTGCTTCAGGGTTTTGAGAAAATGATATCTGGAATGTATCTGGGTGACATTGCAAGGAGAGTGATTCTCAGAATGTCACAGGAGTCAGATGTTTTTGGACCTGTTTCTTCAAAGTTATCGCAGCCCTTTAGTTTGAGGTACACCATTTATTTTCTTCTATCAAGTTCTCTATCTCTCTCTCTCTCTCTGCGTATGAAAAAGCTTGCGCTCAGATCTTACTATATAATGTGACAGTTATTTATTCTAATTGGTACTTCATAAATGCTGTAAATACACCTGACTTCATTGTCTTGTTTCTTATAGGCTTCTAAACTTCCAATTCTTTTCATTCCCTTTTGAACAGTCCTTGTTGTTGGTAGACATTCTTCTTCTTTTGGTTATTGGCATTGTACCGCTGGGTGACGTACATATAGGTAATATGATCTTTTATTGATTAAAAAAAAAAAAAAACCATCGAATATGTTATAGAAGATCTTGAATGGTTTTCCTTGTAATTTTACATATTGGAAAAATTGCAACCTCACTAGGATAATGTAAGAAAGGGGACACATTGAGGATCTATATGAAGTGTAGTCCTTAAAAAAGAACATATATAAATAAAGAAAAATATCTCAAATCACACTGAAATGAAGGTAAGGACATGTTGGGGGATTAGATCAGCATTGAAAATAATCCTATCGTCGACCTATCAACAATCTTTTGATCTAATATTAATGGTAAATGTTTGTTAGATTCAACTTTAATCTAGTTAAAAGTAAAAAATTAATTCAACAAAATTTAAATCTACTGATTGAATAAGCTATCAGGAGATTTTGTTTGAGATCTTGCTTAAATCTTGCGTTTTAAAACTAATTGAGACTAGATCTTAAGCTTTTAGGAGTGTGGTACTTGATAGAAGTCAAAATTTGGGGGGAAATTGGGAAAATAATCAGAATTTCGGGTTTAATAGATTACTGCAGAAACTGGCTTTTAGAATTGAAACAAATTCCTGTTAGTATGATGGGCACTTGAACATTGTGCCGTTTCTGTTATGTTACAGTCATTACATCCTCTAATGGATGTTATTTAAAGCAAAGGTGTTTGTGGATTTTGTTTTAACCAACTTTTTACCTTTCTACCCTGATTTTGTATGTGACCCTTTCTCTGGCTCAAAAGTTTCTTCTATTATTGTTATTAATTATTTGGGAGGAGGGGAGGGAGCACGACGATGTTTTTTAATGACTATTTTCTTTTGGGTTCATGAGGTTTGGTTGTCTTTGGGTTCATGTGGTTATTTCCATTGATTGGCACCTATGTTTGAGAAATACGAAGGTTGTTTTGTGTATTCCTGTTGCAACTTTTCTCGAGTTTCTTTTTATTATCTATTTTTTGGTAATAAATTTTTTTATTATTTATTCCTACCAATATATGCGCGTGTATATATACATACCATGGTTCAGATTACATGCAGTTAGTACACACCCTGTTATTTTATTGTGCATGAGTTTAGATACAGACGTTAGAGTGATAACATTAGTTGGGTCTGAATAATTTTTAACTGGGAAGCAATTCAGAACATTGAGAAATCTACTTGGTCCTTAAGCTGACATCAGGCTATGGCAGTCTATTTACATCTCCATGAGTTTGCCTTGTTTAGTGAGCTCATCCTTTACACGCTGGGTTGTATAGTTGAAATTGCGTTTGCCACCTTTTTTTACCTTTTCTTTTAAAAAAGATTTTCACTATTTAGCTTACGGAATGCTGGGAGTTTCCATTTTAAAGCCGTAGTTTCTGGATATTAACAAACACCAACATATACACCAATATTCAGCGGATATGTGGAACAATTTGGACTGAGTAATTCAGATTCTAATTATTTATTCGATTCTGAAAATAATGTACAAAAGATGGGGTGATGGATACTATAAGCAATGGGCCCTACAAAATTTCAGTAATTTTTCCGTTGCTACTTACTTTAATCATCATCATGTTCTGGTCGCAGTTGTAGTTCTAATGTTTCACTCTTTCCCAAAAACAATTTCAGGACGCCATTGATAGCTGCTATGCATGAGGACGATTCCCCCGACTTGAGTGAAGTAGCCAGAATATTAGAAGACGAGCTAGGGGTAAATGAGTTTGCATTTCTTTCTGCTCATATCTTCTACCTCTGTATTTATCACTTCTCTCATTGTTTTTAATTTGGTGTGTTGCCTTTTCAGATTTCTGATGTGCCTTTAAAGGTTCGAAAGCTTGTGGTAAAGGTATGTGATGTGGTGACCCGCAGGGCTGCCCGATTGGCAGCTGCTGGCATAGTGGGGATCTTGAAGAAGATTGGTCGCGATGGGAGTGGTGGCATTACAAGCGGAAGAATCAAAGGTGGAAGCCAAAGTAAGATGAGAAGAACGGTTGTGGCAATCGAGGGGGGTTTGTATACAAGCTATTCTATGTTCAGAGAGTACTTAAACGAGGCCGTGACCGAAATCTTAGGAGAAGAAATCTCCCAACATGTATTTCTCAAGGTGACAGAAGATGGATCAGGCATTGGAGCAGCTCTTGTTGCTGCCTCTCATTCAACCGAGTCAGCCCCCAATGTGGATAGCGTACAGTTGCTATAAATATATATATGTTCATATATATTCATATAGCCCCTGTAAATTGTAGAATTCATTTTCCATAATTCTATTGAATGCTTGTAAAAGGGAAGGTTGTGTATATGTGTCATATATTAGAATGTTGCTCTTATAGTTTACAAGTTTCTCAATCCAATTTTAGAGGTTTTCTAATTTCATTTGTGGGATTGTTGGTATTCAATTTTCTGGCTCGAGTTGTAATTGTGTTTCATTGAACTCTTGTTGTCTCAGTGCACTGCTTCGGAATTAATTTTTGAGTAAGGAAATCATTGAGCCGCCTCATCCATGACTAGCCAATCATATATATTCACATTGAATCACTGTTGTTTGCATATTGTTCTTTCTTTGCTGGGCAGTAAGGTTATTGGACCCAAGTCCGGAAGCGTTCTCTTCACTTTAAGTCATATAATGCGGGACACGAAAATGGCAAAATTTAAAATTTAATCGAAACCGGAAAAATTTAAAAGTTAATCAGAAACTGGAGTGTTGCGTCGTTGACTTGCATGCTATTATGTGTGAAATGTTTTTAATATTTGCACAGGTCATTATATATTTTGTGGAATAATAAAAATGTGATTTCATTAGCACTAGAAAATGTGTATGAGGGACAAGAAATGAAATTGAGATATATAATATTATTATTAATTAAAATAAAAAATTATAGTATTTTGTTTTATTTTCAGAGAAATGCGACTTTAGAAATCTATATATTTATTCAAAATTCTTAAAGAGAGATTGTTTAAATTTTAATACATGAAATGATTACTTTAAAGAATTACAAAATAATAAACTTCTTAACTAAATAAAGTAAAACTAAAAAATATCCACATAATTTGTTTTAAATATTTTTGTGTCTATACACTACACACATTTAAATAATGAAATAAAAGTGATCAATATAAAGCAGACATCAATATGGGAAGGATTCGGCTTTAATATTGCAGGTTCATTCTTGGTTTTTCACATTTTTTATCTCTTTTATTCAATATTACATACATCTTGGTAATTGTGATCCATAATAAATGTGACATGTTGTTGCTTATACTTCAATGAATGAGAAATCATTCTAAGTTTGAGGATTGAAAAAATTGAATTCGATAATTGTGGAAGAATTCACTCTCTAAGCACCAATTCGCGTGCGGAACATGAGAGAGGCACACCTTTAGAAGAATTGTGTGACTTAGCTTATTACACCCCTCTCTCTCTCTCTCTCTAATTTTAAAAAAAATTTATAAGAAAAAAAGAATTAAGAGAGATTCAGTTGAGAAGCTACCGATCTGGACACCTCCGTGTAAGCGCTTGGCATGACACCGGATTAAAGATCGCGAACCACCCGACCCATGACAAATGGTTTTAGAGTAGGCCCAAGGATGATTCGGTGTCACGCCAAGCGCCTGCACAGAGATGTTTGGGTCTAGTATTGGGTCCTTGTTGTTAGGGTGGACCAACCACAATGAAGGCGTTGCAAGTTTGGGTCGGGGAGAATGTCATGCATTATTGTCCCACATCAGTTTCTAATGGGAAGGGTTTTGTGCATATAAGATTGGATGTTTGTACTGCCTAATAGCTTAAGTTTTTGAGCTAGACCATAAAACAATGGGCCCATGACACCAAGCTTAGTTTTTTGAGCTCGTAAAGAAATAAGCCAAATAAAAAATAGATTAAGGCCTGGGTCAGTTCTTTGTAGTCCATTTAATGATGTTACAAGTCTTTTGAAGTTCTTGTTATTGACATTCTGTGTGCACCAGAATTAGGTGTTGGTCATACAACGAAAGAATAGATGCTTGGGTAAATATTACGATGGTATTAGAAATGAGGAAATCAAGGTTGCGGCAACAAGTGCTACGTTAACATTCAAATCATACCTTAGGAATCCTCGTGCCAAGGTTGTTCCCATCAAAATGAGGATTTGTTTCTATAGCTGATTGTTACATGACTGAACCTCATATACTTTTGTCGAATTAACATATGCTTTGAGCTGGACAAGACAAATTAAACAAAGGGACACTCTAGCGTATAATAATAGGAAAGAGGGCCTAAGTTGTCACATAAGCATAACACTTCCCTCTTATCTAGTGTTACAGTTTAGATGTCTCATCAGTGTTAGTTTTCACCTTTATTCTCACATGAGTAATTGCTAACTTGGGTCCAATATCAGTCGTCCACATAGAGGATTATTGAACGATTGACCTTACTCAACTCCTACTATTAATAGAACTCATTTATGTCTGAGAAAAGGTCTTGCACCAACGCGCCTGGGGAATATTAACTCCCTCTAATTAGCTTTGATACCAGTTATTAGGAATAAAATCCCTTTTCATTCAAGCATATCATCATCACCCATTAATCACATTAGCATATATGAAGATAAAATCATACATCAATTAACGCACAATACAATATTTTATGTGGTTCACCTAACCTTTAGGGCTACGTCTATGGAGAGAACTTTCATTATTATGAATATACAACCAGATGCCTAGCCCCACTAACTCATTATCTATCTTTTGAGGCTACATCTTTACACTTGCAAATTACATATACTTTTTCCTCCTCTTCTCACAACACCCACCCTTTCAAACCCTACATCTTTTCTCTCCCTGCCTTCCCCACCCAAATTTACCCTATTTATAGAGTCTTCAATCCATTCCTTCTCGAACAAGGATTCCAATACATTGTCTAACAAGAAGTTACCAAATCAATCACAACTTCAAAAATAGAATCCTAGTGAGAGATAAGCTCTTTAATTAATAACAACTTGCCAAACAAATTTGTAACCTTCAGGAAAGTAATTCTTAAAATAAGGAAACAAATCTCGCACATCAGGTAAGTGCACCGATTTCACTTTTCCAGCACCTTCAATCTTCATTCTTTAATAAGTGTGACCGGTTGCACTTTTTCAGAGTAACATCCTTCGATAGAATTTAAGAGATACTTCAATAATTTTCATCTTGACTTAAATTCTGCCAATCCTCAACTAACCTTGAACCAATCAAGCAAGAGTCCATTCTTCAAACATCTTTTACCTTTCATCTTCCTTCCTTCCATCAATAAACCCTCACAATTGGTGTTCAATAACTCACTATTTTAACCCACCAATTTTAATGAGGCTACAATCATCAACATACTATCTGTTCTTTTAGGGCTAAGAGTGCGAACCTCTCATTGAATCTCCAAAACATTTCACGATCAACCTTTTGTTTTGACAAACTTCCTACAACTAGTCTTCAACTTTAACAAGACGAAGCTTTTTAGGACCTTCATTTGGCTCTGATGAAGGCTGAACCTCCTAAGTCAAACAATCAACTCTTAGACCAGTTGTTGGGAAATATTAACTCCCTTCAACTAGCTTTGATACCAGTTGTAGGGAATTAAATCCCCCTTCATTCAAGCATAATGGTGAAATATCATTATCACACATAAATCACACAAGCATATATGGAGATACAATTCGAATCAATCAACACATAATACAATATTTTATGTGATTCACCCAACCTTTAGGGCTACATCCACGGAGAGAGAACTTTCACTGTTATGAATCAAGGAAGAGAATATACATCGCCCAACCCCACTCACTCACTTTCTATATTTTGAGGTTACAACTTTATACTGGGAAATTACATATACCATCGCATCTCCTCACAATACTCACCCTTCCAAATCCTTCATAATTTCTTTTTGGCCTTCTCCACCCAACTTCACCACTATTTGTATAGTCTTCAACCCATTCCTTCATAAACAAGGATTTCCATACATTGTCTAAAAAGAAATTACCAAATTAATCTATTAAAAATTAAAAAATAGAATCATAGTGAGAGACAAGTTCCTTAATTACAAAGAAACAACTTATCCAACAAGTCTGTAGCCTTTAGAAAAATAATTCTTCAAATAATGAAACAAATCTCGCACATCAAGAAAGTGCGACCCATTGCACTTTTCTATCACCTTATCTAACGACCTAAATCTAAAAGTTCGAATCACTATGCAGGTCCTTACTCGGACCCGAGGGCACACAAGGGCAAAATAGTCATTTCAAGGCAAACATGGGGGAAGAGCCGACTATAATTAGTTAAATGGGGCTCTCTAATATTACATTATCCAATTTAGTCAATTCCATAAGTTTGCAATAGCCATAGGTACAGTTTCCCACATTTACCCACTTTAGATTTAAAGGATTTTTTGACACTACCTCACTAAAACAGTTATAACTCTCTTTGTACTTGGAATCTGAGAATAGGGTTGGTACCATTGGAAAGATAACAAAAAATGCTTCAATTTAGGCTTAAGAATGACCCCATTTGGTTTTAAATTGAGGGAGTTATGGCCATTCTAAGTTTGAGATAATAACTAATGAACATGTAAGAGTGCTCGATCGATCGAGCCTAACTTGATTGATCAAGTCCCAATTCGATCGATTGATTTCAAGCTAGAACAATGGGACAGAGAGCATAAAATTTGTGATTTTCTCAAATTTTCTAAGAATGGGAGGCTCAATCGATCGAGTATGGACTCGATTAATCAAGTTAAACCCTAAAAATGGCCATTGACCTCCAAGGAAGCTTTGGTTGGCTCCTACATTGAAATTATGACAATTGACACCTCCACATAACTTAAAATCATCCCAAATAATAAGCTTATGTAATACCCATAGTTTTCAAAAGGATATGAAAGGGCTTTAATTAGTTATTTTATTATATTTTATGTGCTTACGTGATTATGTGCTTTTGTGGTTACATGATTATATGCTTATTTGTCTTAATTGTTTATGTGATATTTGATTTAATTGGGTGCTTGTGTGGTGTATTAATTGGGTGTTTTACTTGCTTAAGTGATGTGTTATTTAATTGTAATTAATTGTTAGGATTAAATAATATAATTGCTTTATGTTTAATTTATATTTTTTAAAGGATGAATTTGGATAGTAGTAATGGACCAACCCAATGGGTCGCATGGACTACTTGGATAGAAGATAAATGGGTAGAATTATTTACCCATGGATGGAGGTACATATATATATGGGTATATATGTATATAAGGAAATTATAATAATAATAATTATTTTGATTTTTATTAATAGTTGATTATAATCAATATAGTCAGTATATATATATAGTAATAAGTTATTTATTATATATATTATTTATATATACGTCAATGTATCACGTTAGATTTAGGCTATATATGTATATGTATATTATATTTTTTTTTTCTTT